GCCACCACATAGCCACCAGAGATATGCGAGTGCGAGCTCTGTACGCTCTCAAGTACGAGGAGGAGTTCGCACCGCACGCGCCCGGCTTCGTCACGGCCGTGTGGACCGTGCTGCTGGCAACCACGCCGCACCGCAAGTACGACGCGGTAAGTGGGGCCAGATAGCCACTACGTAGCCACTACATGGCCACTACATAGCCACCACATGGCCACTACATAGCCACTACTTAGCCACTACATAGCCACCACATGGCCACTACATAGCCACCATGTAGCCACCATATAGCCACCATGTAGCCACCACGTGGAAGCCATGTAGCCACCACATAGCCACCAGAGATATGCGAGTGCGAGCTCTGTACGCTCTCAAGTACGAGGAGGAGTTCGCACCGCACGCGCCCGGCTTCGTCACGGCCGTGTGGACCGTGCTGCTGGCAACCACGCCGCACCGCAAGTACGACGCGGTAAGTGGGGCCAGATAGCCACTGCATAGCCACCACATAGCCACCATGTAGTCACCACGTGGAACCCATGTAGCCACCACATAGCCACCATGTAGTCACCACGTGGAATCCATGTAGCCACCGCATGGCCACCACATAGCCACTAGATATATGAGAGTGCGTTGCTCTCTACACGCTCAAATACAAGGAAGTGTTCACTACATAGCCACCATATTATGGCCAATACATAGCCACTATATAGCCACCATATGGCCACTGCCTAGCCACCATATAGGTACTAGATAATATGCAAGTACGCAGCTCTATATGCGCAAATAGGCACTTTTTCTTCATTGAACGATTCTAGCAGCAACATTCTTTATTTCCAGCTGGTGTCCAACGCCTTAACGTTCCTAGCCAAAATCGCCGAAAAGAACAACTACAAAAGCCTGTTTGAAGACCCCGCCACACTTAGCAGCATTTGCGAGAAAATCGTCATTCCCAACATGGAGTTTAGAGGTAAGTAACATAATCTTTGAACTTAAATAACTATGGGTAACGCATTCGATATCGACTGCGTCAAAAAAATATATGAAGATTTTAGTTCTTGAAAGATTCCGCTAGGAGCGCTGTACAATCCGTCGTACATTTAGGCTGAGTTGCACCACTTAACTTAGACCGAAACTTTGACGATAACCGGTGTTTTTTGTATGGAGTTTGACAGATTTTTGACGTTTGTCAAAGTTAAAGTAAGATGGTGCAACTTAGCCTTAATGTCACATTTTTATGCAGTCGATATCGAATGCTTTTGACGTAAACTCACACTATGCTACTACAGAGGGGCGCCACCGTCAATACCGGATCGCTGGTTCCGATTTTTGCCATGTTGGAAACCATATAGTTGAACGATGGTAGCGCCCCCCTGTCATTGAGTTTGGTGGGACAGTTCAGCGTGGGTCATCTTTAGCAATGTGTTCCCCTTGACGCGTCCTGTCATTGGCCGCGGCTTTCAATGCAGCGACAACACTTCTTCTTTTATTTTGGCAACGTCTTGATATTGAGAACCATGATTTCGCCAATATCACGTAAACAGCTTTGACAGAGTAACAGGGTTTACAAAAAACAAAAATATTTACATTTCTAATAATAAGCAAAATTATTTGTGTGAGTACCTAAAACAAAAAAGACAACAACACAAATAAATACGCGGCGGTGGCGATCAGATTGCGCTTGTTAATTTGACATTTCTGCTTTTAAAATGGCGGATTTTTTCATGGTCTGGAACGCATATAATAAAAAGTGCATATTGTCTATTCCCATAGAGTCAGACATGGAGTTATTCGAGGATAACCCTGAAGAGTACGTGCGAAGGGACATAGAGGGTTCCGACGTGGACACGCGGCGGCGGGCCGCCTGCGACCTGGTGCGGACCCTCGCCCAGACCTACGAGGACAAGATGATGAACATGTTTGGGCAATATGTGCAGGTTAGTTCTCGTTATGATTGCATTGGTGACAATCTATTTTGAACTTTAGTGAGACACAAGGTTCAAAACCAATGAATAATATTTATTTTTCTCTATACTATAGGGTTTTCCAATAAGAGGTGTCATTTTGATGTGTCTCAACAAGAACTTTTGCACGTCGCATGCGACAGAATATGCTGGAATTTATTAAATTAACACCCATCTGTAACCATGATCTTGCAAATAAATGATTTTATTTATTTATTATTTATTTGATATTCAAAGAAAAATGCGTTTTTAAATATAAATGATCTGATGTTATGATAAAATCAGGCAAATTACCACCACAACCACGCTTATAGGACCATATCCTTTTCATGAATTTTTTCATAACCATAAACGCAAAGTTACTAAACATCCGATCATTTATACATATAGTAAAAAAATATATTTTTCTTTGAACATCAAATGACACCTTTTATTGGAAAACCCTATAGATAAAGGATTAAACTTTGGATCCCCGTTTCATCCCCATACAGTTGAATTTGGCACCCCGCCCGCCCCGTTGCACGCAAAATTCGAGGCAGCGGTCATAATTGTTTCATATTAATAATATTCAAAATGGGGATGATAACTAAATTATATAAAATTTACTTGTATAAAACTATGTTTACATGCTAGTTCAAATCTAGTGAATGTGCTCTGTTCTACCATATTATGTGACACTTAATGTACAAATAAATAAATAAATAAAAACAAAATGAGTTCGTACTGATTTACTAAAACGTTGTAACTCCATTTTTCCAGCTAATGCTAGCCAAGTATGAAGAGTGTGGCGCATCAGCATGGCGTGGCAAGGACACCGCCATGTATTTAGTGACGTCACTGGCATCGCGCGGCAGCACTCAAGCCAGCGGCGTGACGCGCGCTTCGCCGCTGGTCGACTTAGCGCAGTTTGCTGCTACGCACGCAATGCCAGAGTTGCAGAGACCCAATGGTGAGTATACTACACGCCCACACTAGAGTAACTCAACTAAATAAATACTCAATTAGGTACACCTAATAAACCTACTCAACTAAACTTGACCATAAAGTTAATATTCCTTCGGAATAGAGCAACAACCACGAGCTGTCAAACGGAACCGATTTTGGAAGACAAATTTTCAGCGTGCTACTGAACTGTCAAATTGTTGCAAAAAACGGTTCTGTTTGACGTGACGGCGACGGCATTACGCATCCTTTTTTATCACACAGTGTTGCTGCTAGTGACATGTCGCTCTCTCAGTACTATGTTGCTCTATTCCACTATACTTAGTAATTTTATGGTTGAAACACGTTTAGCTGCTAAATTACTCGACTAGTACGAACGATGCTTACCTCCTCTACTATTTTTTGTTTCTAAAATGAATTGTATTTGTTTCAGTGGACGAACTGCCTGTACTGAAAGCGGACGCCCTCAAGTTCCTCATGACGTTCCGAACGCTGCTACCCAAAGAGTTGCTGGTCAACGCTCTGCCTCTTATGGTGAGTAAATTTTAACTAAGCAGTTTATTTATTTATTTAGTTCGTACACCAACAGCAAATCAGATCTTTTCCACCACAAAAGGCGACTAAACGTGATAGAGACAAGAGACTGTCGTCTGTGAGAGAGAGACTGTGAGAGTCGGAAAACCACGACCGTTACTTTATTTTAACCAATTATGCATTTCATGAATTCGCGAGCGAGATTAATTTGTGCACTAGTTTTTTATAATGAATTCTTAACCTAATCTTTATGTTTTTGCTCAAAATATCTACGGTTTTTTAAGTTTTTACATTAAAAGCATCGAAAATTATGGATTTTTGATCAAAAATAGATTGAAATTTGACGGTTGAAGGACGGATTTGCATAAGGATTGATTAAATGCTTCGATATGATTTCATTTTGGTGCAAAATCTTTTGGAAGTACTGGTTCTTCACCATCATTATTTCAGCCACAGGACATCCACTGCTGAACATAGGCCTCCCCCAATGATTTCCAGATAGGCCGGTTGGTCGCTACATTCAGCGCTTTTTAGCAATTTTTAGGTCATTTGTCCGATAGATTATTGGTTAATTTAACCTTAAATGCGGCTTGCATCCAGCTCCTTCTTGCAACCTTTGAGGTCATCTGTCCTCCTTGTGGGTAGATTGTTAATTTACTCTAATTTAATTCGTAGGTAGCCCACGTGAGCGCCCGTGGGGTAGTTTGCACATACGCCGCGTGCGCGGTAGAGAAACTAATCGCGGGTGGAATGATATCCAATGCGGCGCTACTACCGCACGCGCCGGCGTTGCTCGAGGGACTTTTTGCTTCGCTCGGCGACGGCAGCGACCCCGCGCGACACAACGAGTATGTTATGAAGGGTGAGTGGCTTTTATTTTTTTATTTATTTATTTTTCTTTATTACCAACAGCGCAAGGATTATTATAGTCTACTAGGGTTTTAAGTTAAACTTTAACCAAGGGACCCTGTAAGTAGCCCCTATTGCTTGCAACGTAAGTAATATTAGGGTAGTGTGGTCCCCAACGGTACTCTGCTACCGCTCTTAGAAGTACATGCAAGCTAAAAAAAGGACAATGAAATTGGGTTTTGAGATCTTGAATAAAGTATTACTTCAGAGTAGGTGTGTCCTAAAAATACTCGTATAGGTGATGTTACTTACCAAAACTTAAGGCCAGGTTTCCACCAAGGCGGAGCGGAACGGAGATGTGTTTTGAATAACTACTCAGATCTTATTATTTTCACTTCTCCGCACCACACCGCGCCGCCGTCGTTGTCAAATTCTATAGAGAAATTCGTCGGTCCGACACTTCTCCGCTCCGCTAAAAAACGACAAAAATCAGTATATTTTTACATGATGTAATGTTTTCAGCAATCCTGCGCACACTGTCCTGCTTGCAAGACGCGGCGCTGCCCTATCTGGGCTCAGCGCTGCCAAAACTCGCGCACATGTTGTCAGTCGTCGCGAAAAACCCCAGCAAGCCGCACTTCAACCACTATCTGTTTGAGACATTGTCGCTGGCTGTCGCGTGAGTAAACCTTATTGCTTACTAGCTTTCCGCCCGCGGCTTCGCCCGCGTGGATTACATATTTTTTTCCAAAATAAAATGTAGCCTATATTACTCGTGGATAATGTAGCTTTCGAATGGTGAAAGAAATTTTTAAAAACGGTCCAGTAGTTTTTGAGCCTATTCATTACAACCAAACAAACAAAGTTTTCCTCTTTATAATATTAGTGTAGATAGATTACGGACTATTATTGCTAATGCCAAACTTCTTCTATCTTAAGCATAAAGTTAATATTCCGCTAGGTACAATAACTTTATTATCTTAAGTAACCTTTATTGCTAAGTTAACAGGATAAGGAAATACAATGTCGGTTGCAGACCAAAATTTGGGCTAAGTTAGTTAAGCTTTCGGTTTGTATGCAACCGGCATAATATTTTATAAACGAACGAAATTTTATATGGTAAGTTTAGAGTATTGTTAAAAAATACTACCCTACATACATACTAGAGATGGGTTATACCAGGTAAATTTGATACTAGGTGCACCTATTCTTAGTATTTATTAATACTCGATCCAAATACCTATTCCACCTAGTACGTAGTAATTAAGCATACTTGACGCGACTAGTGCGGACTAATCCACGTAATATGACTTTAAAATACCTACAATTTTTTTTTGAAAAGATACAACCGTAGTATGAATAATGCAATTTGAAATTGAATAATAATTCCTCCCTTCATACTTCAACAGGCATAGGACTGTCAACTTAAAAGTTGGCGTATTTAAAAGATATCAATTTCATAAAAATATTTACATATTTTTTCTTATTTACATGAATATGGTTTGACTACGTTTGTGTGCGTTTGCTTCGTCGCGTTCAAATTTGTTTGGTCAGACAGAGACGGAGTGAATCTCTACGTTCGCACATAAGCTTAGCGAGAAATACTAGGTGCGCGTAATACACGACTACGGATTACGCAATAATAACCTCTATTACTTTGATGGTAGGGTCGGAAATCGTGTAATTTATAAAATACTAGGTGGATCAAGTATTTAAAAAATTGGAATAGGTGCCGCCTAGTACTGTAAAATACCTAGTGTGTGGATCTGTTCTAGTAAATACGTCTCATCTCTAATGCATACATACTACCTACATACATAATTTATTAATACATACTCATATTATTCTAGGTTGGTGACAAAATCGAACCCCAACGCTATCTCGGCCTTCGAAGACGCTCTGTTCCCGATCTTCCAGGAGATACTACAAAACGATGTTCAAGGTGAGTCTGTTGCATTCTGACACCCGTATACACAAACATTACTATGAGATCTCACAGTGTGCGTGGACGCACAGGGTTCCAAAAACCTATTCATAGGCAATACATGAGTGGCGACATGACATGTGATTTGTTCGTGTTTGTCACTACAAACACGAACAAATCACAGAGCTCTATTCAACGCTGTGCGTTCGAACTTCGACTTTGCATAGCTTTGCTGCTTTATTTAAACAAGCATCGTTTGTGAATACCTGTATTACCCGTATTCTAGTGCTAGTGGCGAAGACAGTGGCACAAACTAGTGAGCGCTGAAGTGGTAGGAGAACTACAGCATTTGCGCCACTGTTATTTTACCGATTAAAGTACCAATTTAATAGACGTGTTTGACACCACCAATTAATTGACGTACATTTTTAAACTGTCAAAATGAGACTCTCCCATAGATTTCGAGCGATAAGGATGGGTAGCTTGGGGTCATTGGACAAAATTCTACGTGCTCACAGACCGGGTTTTAATAACATAAATGCGAAAGTGACAACAAAACGCAAAGGCCACTCAATGGACCTTCATGAAACTTTACAAAACCAAAACCAGAATCAACTGTAAACGATCTGTGGCAAACAAGAGTGTACCAATACCAGGTGCTGTATCGGACAACAACAATGAAACCCCACGTATTCAAGTGTCTAACCTGTTTCTCTAGTTTTCAATGTTTCTCTAGTGATATGTTTATATCCTACTATCTTTCCGCCCGCGGCTTCGCGAGCGTGGGCACCTGAACCCTATTTTTTTCCAAAATAAAATTTAGCCTATGTTACTCGTCGATAATGTAGCTTTCGAATGGTGGAAGATTTTTTAAAAACGGTCCAGTAGTTTTTGAGCCTATTCATTACAACCAACCAAACAAACAAACAAAGTTTTCCTCTTTATAATATTAGTATAGATATATGTATTGTCCTCCTGCAATAGAGACTAAATTAATCTATGATTTTTGTCCACAGAATTCATGCCATACGTGTTCCAAATGCTTTCTCTCTTACTGGAGCTTCGCGGCGCGGGCGGTGCTCGCGGCGGCGGTGACAGCGACGCGTACGGCGCGCTGCTGCCGTGCCTGCTCGCGCCGCCGCTGTGGGAGCGCTCGGCGAACGTTCGCCCGCTCGTGCGCCTCGTCTGCGCGTTCGTGGCCGCGCGCGCGCCGCTCGTGCTGCAGAGCGGACGACTGGTGAGTTCTAACACAATTTCTTTACGCAGGATTTCTCAAAGTAGGGTACGCGAAGCCTTAGGCTAAGAACTCACGGCGCGATTTTCAACCGCGCCCGCCGCGGCTGCGGGTGAGAATCGCGCCGCGTGCTAAGACACTGGTACAAATTAGTTTTTACAGTAGTAGTAGTAGTAAGTATGTACCTATTAAAAATTATCCAAAATTACTCCTGAAATTGATTCACATTCATATTAAAAAGACATTTCTTTGGAAATTATTGCAATTTAAACCTTATATGACGAAAGAGTGGATTCCTCTCAATACAGGTTACATAAACTTAAAGAGAGGAATTAGTAGATTCTTCTCAATACAGGTTACATAAACTTAAAGAGAGGAATTCCCCAACTTGTTACAAACCTACTAAATGTCAATAAAATATTTTTATCGCCCGTATTCACAAACGATGCTTGCCTAAGTGAAGCAGCAAATCGAACGCACAGCGTAGAATAGAGCTCTGTGATTGGTTCATGTATGACCCTGTATTTTTTGACAAACGGATGGGCGTATGTTGCTTCTAATTCATATCTTCTACTATAACTTAGTAATTTTGTTCCAGAACGCAATGCTGGGCGTATTCCAAAAACTGATCGCGTCCAAAACGAACGACCACGAAGGCTTCTATCTAGTTCAAACGATGCTGTTTAAGTTCGGAGAGTGAGTATACCCATGTTGATTATTCGTTTCTTTATAATGTGTTTGTTTTGATGTGTACATACCACCGAGTCATCATCATTATCATCATAATTTCAGCCATAGGACGTCCACTGCTGAACATAGGCCTCCCCCAATGTTTTCCATGTTTGTCGATTGGTAGCCGTACCTTTATGATGTCGTCGGCTCACCTGGACGTCCCGCCACTCCAGAACCGTGCTGCCCCATCGGCCGTCAGTTCTGCGTACTATGTGCCCTGCCCATTGCCACTTCAGCTTGCTAATCCGTCGGGCTATGTCAGCGACTTTAGTTCGTTTACGGATCTCCTCAAAAATATTCTTAGTAATTCTTTACAGGACTCTGGCGAATATATTGCCAGCACAAATTGAACCTTATTCATTTATCATAACATCAAAAACCAATGAAAATGTTCAACATGTTATTTGTGCCTTATGTCTTTCCAGGTCGGTGATGCAGCAGTATTCCAAGCAGATCATGACGCTGCTTTTCCAGCGGCTGGCGTCGTCAAAGACCACCAAATACGTGCGTGGACTCATCGCCTTCTTAGGATTCTACGCAGCACACTTTGGGGCTGACAACCTTATTGACCTGGTCAATTCCGTGCAGAATAAGTGAGTTATAAGAATTCATTAAGGTTCAATATCGAGTGTCCCCTAAGTCCACGATCGGTCGGTTTCATCGCCTTCCTAGGTTTCTACGCCGCGCACTTTGGACCTGACAACGTTGTTGAAAGTTTGAAATTCAGTGTACATAATTTGAAAATTATAAGTTCAATATTATATCAGTAAGTCGGATTTTAAGATCTCTATTACACGCATTGGTCCTCCTGCCACTGCTTCGGGACTTAGTTATTACAAGTTTGCTAGTCTAGCAAATGTGGTTACTCTTTCACGCAAAAACTACTAGCTCTATTATAACACCACTATTAATTGTAAAGTGACATGCAATAAACAATGTGAATTTGAAACTTTACAGCAGAATTTGTTTTCGCAGCTTCACCCGCGTGAAATTTAGTGTCACAGATCGTCATAAATTATAGCCTGTATGTTATTCTTGGTTATAAATAATAACGTTAAGTTTCATCAAAATCCGTTCAGTAGTTTTTGCGTGAAAGAGTAACAAACATCCATCCAGATATCCAAACTTTCGCATTTATAATTAGTCCAGTCAATAAAGCATTATAGATGGAAAACTGTAGAACACAATTTCTGACTTCAGGACTTTATTTAGACTAGTTAGGAGGTGAACATAGCAAAAGTCCCCGTCCTTAGCCCTTGAGCCGGCGGGGAGAGGGGGGTTTAAGGCGATTAGTGTCCTCAATCCGCGCCAAATGGGCATTTTGTAAAGCCTACTCCTCTTTTACTGCTAGACAGAAATAGTTGAAAAAAATATATGTTATACAACAGTTCAAGGACTACATTTGTGACGTTTGAATTTTCGCTACGTCTCTTTGTTTTGGATTAAAAAAATAAATACGGGACATCGATTTNGAACATGCCTGCTATTACTAAAAATAAAGACCGAAAGAATAAAATAGAAAAAAAGACAGTGCAACATTAACCGTACCTACTGCACAATTTTGATGACTGCATTCTTTGATGATGATTCGATAAAGTCTATTATTTTGTAATCAACTTAGGCATATAACGAGGCGATCACAAAATTCGATCTTATACCGAATACCTCAAACGTTACAATGATAATGAAGTTTCTCAATGCGCAGTGGTTGGAAAACATCCTTCGATCTGACCTACACAACTCGAGCAGGACCTCAGGTCGTCGCTCCTTGTCCTCGATTTTCCCTCCATCTTCCGCATACCAACAGATACGGTTTGAGGACGACTCGGAAGCACGAAACATGGTAATGCATGACATATTACTACCGCAAACAATAGGATTTAAACTGGAATTAGAATAGATATGAAGATAAAGAGAATTTGTGACTGAAAACTTTAGCATTAGATCCATTTCAGTTAAAGTAAACAATAATACAGGAACAAAAAGAGCAGATTAAACTCTAAAATATTTATGTTAACAATGTAATAATTTCGGAAATACACGACTATTTCTTGTGCGTGAAGTGAGGTATAAACAAGACAACGGATTATATTATAGGAACTTGTCACTTTGCGAAGAGAAACGCAAAAAGCTTGTTTAATTTAATAGATAGTCATTTTATTGTTATTGCAGTTGTATTAGTGGGTACTAATTTGTGTAATTGTGTTGTGACTGATTGTTGAAACAAACAAAAACTCGTTAACTTAATTCCACTCGCGATCGAGGAAGCGCCGCTGTCAGTCGCCGTCACTGTATCGTTTACATAACTTGTTTTGCTGAGTATCTACCAGTAAACTTCACATAAAAGTAATTGAAGCTTTGTTTTACACATATTTTACTCTCGCGCTAAACTCGGCGATAGAAGAAACGACTTGACTGTTAAATTATTGTTAACTAACGCATGAGTTTCACAAAGTTCGAAGCTTGAATAGGTCTCGCAATCAAAACTACTTTTTCAAAAAGCTTATATCGCCAACATTAGAAATGATAGCTTTCCAACTGATTGATACAATCACTAATCTAAACATCCGTTTTTAAATAGCAAATCACTCGAAGCAAACATCATGTTGTTAAAAGGTTGTTAAATCACACATAAAACTAGCCAACAAAATAAAAGTAACCTAAAACATGACCTAATGAGGCTGTACGAGTATACCACATTCTCATTAACGGCCTCCGCAAATACCAAAAAACATCGTTGACTTTGACATTCCCAATCTTGTTAATCCGCGGATTTGGTCTTTGGTCAAACGATGCGCGCACGCATCTCTCATTAGACGGCATCCTCGCACTTGACCCGCTAGCCTCTTTGCTGATGAAAATGGTAATGATGATGCCCAAACAATACTGGCCTTAATAAATTCGTGATGTCTTCAAGCCACATCACTTGATGAGCTAGCATGTGGAATTGAGGATTAATGCACAAGTGCATCATAATTTAAAGTACTAAACATCTCGTCGTAATTTAGTCAATGCCTTTACTCGTAAGTAATGTACAGTCGCAGAATGAAAAGGTTCGTCACCTTAGTGTCGGTTTTCGCTTGCACTAGGTACTGTAAGAGTCAAACCTGTCAACATAACAGTGCAAGAAACAGTGCTGCTAACATTTAAATAAATATGACGTTTGCTAACGAATAAGGTTTTGCTTGTTTATTTTTCTATCCCATCAGTGCAATGCAATGATGACATTGACCAATTGACAATAGTTTTTTTTTATTTAATAGAAATAATAATGGCAGGTTGAACCAACAAGAAGGTTTTAGTTTATCAATCATAATAATCTTCTTGACAAGATAAATCGTCAAACAACTTTGATCAATAATTTTGAACTTTACTGACGAACAGTTAAAGGTTATTTTCTCTAACTCGAGATTATTCTGTAACATAGTTTCAAAAGGTAATATGTGTTCGCGATTCGTTGAAGGAATCAATTTGAAAACTGACGAACCTTTTCATTCCGTGACTGTACAAGTACATTCCATAGAAATGTTTTGTAATTTAAGTTACTTTTAGTTATTTAAGATTTTTATGATTTAATACTTAAACTGTAGGAGACAGGTTTGCGAATGCATCTTACGTACCTTACGTAGAAACCTAAACCTAACAGAATGATATGCAAACGAGGAATATTTTTTGTATAAGATTGTCAAGACATTATAATAATGATTTATTAATTATCAAACAACAAAATGGACTATTGAAAACGCTAATTAAAAACATTCATAATTTATAGCAAATTCGCATCCTTTTTGTACGCCAGATGAGCACAGTTACCTAATAAAAATAACTTCCTAATTTGCTCAGATTCACTTCTCCTTTCACAGTCAGATAAGGAATAATTAGCTCGGAACGGTAATTAGGACCGAAAATAAACTAATTATAATTGCAGTGGCTCAAACTTTCTGTTTCGGGCCCGCGGAGGTCATTGTCATGCAGAGCTTACGTAAGAGACTGGTGTTCTAATAAGAATATTACGTAAGTTAAAAAAGAGGAAGGTCAAATTGACCCTAATAATAAAGGTAAATAACAAAGTAAGTGCTGCAAAAATATAAGCAGGCAATTTCGTTATCTAGGAAGATAGCTTTTCGACGGCGTTTACAGAAACATTTTCTTGAGATTCTAGAGCTTTTGTCACATGTCTTAACTTCATCATAATGGAATTAATTCAATAGTTGATTATGTCAATCAATAAATGGTTCCTGTAGGTTTTATGGCGAAAGGCGCTGAAAACAAATAAAAATTTAACAATGCTTTTTGAACCTGCAATTGAAAAGTAATTTTTAACCAATCTCATGCCTGATTCACACTTGAATCTACACCTAGGAAGATTGAAATCACTATGCTGCTGACCTTAATTAGCATTCAAGATTGCAAAGTTTATCGGCCTAGCTAGCTAGACTATTGTCTAAGAAAACTACCCACTTAAAGCTGGGGAGAGAAAGCACACACAAACTCGTTCTTATTCTAGACTCGTAACGACAAATGTAAAATTAGGTAACCGAGTATAAATTACATATCTACATAATTCAGAGCATCGCATTTCTAAAAAGCAATCTTATTGCGAAGAAGTGCGTTCAGTGACGCAAGAGTGCGATAACAATCGGGTGACGCAACGCGACGCACCGCATGCGCATGTCGAAACGTACTAAGCCTAATTAGCTGGTGGACTCTTCCGGGCTCCTTGTTCCGCATTTTGAGCGACTCTCAGGTGTGAAGCACTAATTGATCGGTTTCTTTTCGGAGATCCGTGGCAGTTTGTGACGCAAGCTAAGACACAAGAGCTTAATTACTTGGGTATTTGTTAATGAATAAGCATAATCGACAGTCAGTTAGCATAGTGGTTAACGTGCCCCAATATCCCAACTACGGTTGCCAATTTTTTATCCCACACATAAACAATGTGATGAAGAGACGACTGCTTATCAATGTAAGCACCGAGGCATCTTATAATGTCAAATAAGATTTTTGAACTACAATGAGTATAGCTACCTATATGAGCATCACATGAACTTATATTTTAATTTTATTGACCATAACGGTACATAATTCCATGTCTATGTATTTCTTCGTTTAAATTATTACCACTTTGTTGTAAGTTCGGTTTGATTCTGCAACACATAAAGTACTACTCAATTTGTTCATAGGCCTAAAATGATGTATGATGACGAATGACCGACTGACCACAAAATGTGACCAACAGGGCAATAATCTAAAACCAATTGCGTGAATCTTACACAAACACAAACCTTTACAATGAAAGCCAACATTGTCATCATAATGATGGCAACAAAACAACTTAACCCCGAACTAATGTTACTAAAATAATTATTTCAATTAAGTAAAACAATACAGGTTAGCGAAAACAAGTTCCGCCGACTATTTTTATAATGTTTATAGCCAATTCAACTTAGAATCAATCAAGTTGTTTATCTCTAGAAAATACCGATCATTGCTCGTCCTTCGCTTTGTAAATTGTAATACGAATAGTAAGTGTAAAATACTTTTTCAAATCACACTTAAAATTCTTACAATTAAGGTAACTAAAACCGACGTCCTCT